GGTGGGTCAGCAATAATGGAGGTAATCCAAATAAATCTCAATCATTGCAACACAGCACAGCAACTGTTGTGGCAGTCGACAACGGAAACAAAGTGCGACGTTGCAATCATTGCAGAGCCATATCGAGTCCCTCGCGATAATGGTAACTGGGTGGCGGATAGAGCAGGAATGGCGGCCATACAAGTCATGGGCAGGTATCCCATTCAACAAGTGGTGGCGGGCTCATACGAAGGTTTCGTGATAGCCAAAATCAATGGAATCTATGTATGTAGTTGCTACGCACCCCTGATATGGACAATTGAACAGTTCCACCAGATGCTAGATGGGCTCACCGGAGAGCTCATTGGACGGAGACCAGTCATCATCGCAGAAGATTTCAATGTTTGGGCAGTGGATTGGGGGAGCAGGTGTACCAACGCAACAGGGTATAGCCTGCTGAAAACTCTGGCAAAGTTAAACGTCTGTCTGGCCAACTTAGGAACCATCAGCACCTTCCGCAAAGATGGTAGGGAATCCATTATCGACATCACTTTCTGCAGTACGTCGCTAATGGCAAATATGAACTGGATAGTGTGCGAAGAGTAAACCCATAGTGACCATCAGGCGATCCGGTACAGTATCGGCGAACGGACACCGGTGGAAATGCAGAGGACGAAAGTAAGCGAGCGGAAGTGGAAGACGAAGGCATTCATTCCGGGCCTAAGCGCGAACGAGTTGACCGAATCATTAGCAATCATGTGACACAACGATGCCGAGAAAACTGGAGCCAACGAACAGGCGGCGTCCAGCTAACTGGTCGAACGAGAAAATTAGCACCCTCCGTGCTACTTGTCTTCTAGCCAGAAGGTGTGCTCAGAGAGCAAGAACAGAAGCAGGCAGAGAGGAGCGCAGGGTGGTGTTCCGATAGGCCAGGGCTGCACTGAAACGAAAGATAAAGCTGAGCAAGTCAAATAGTTTCAAGGAGCTGTGCCGCGACGCCGATCAGAGGTCCAACGATGCCGGTTGAAATGTGTTCCAACAAGCTGAAAGTCATCGTGAAGGGACTTTCCCCACAGCATGACCCAACGAACTGGCCACCTACAACATAAAGGGTGTCCACGATGAAATTGCCACACACAAAATTGATTCGCAAAATTCGAGTTTTCATCCGATTGCCATCAAATTTTCAGGGATTGAGAAATAACTATTAAACTTCAATTTACCATTTTACTCGTATTTTATTTACAGTCCATACGCAAATGCCCGCACCTTGGCCTTAACCCGGCCATAAGATTCTGCACAACCTGTGAATCATCCGTTTTTTGCATGTAAACCCATACTTTCTTCAGTTCCTCGACTGTCTTCACTACCTTAGGTCGTTTAAGAAGGTGCTGCTTCATAATCGCCCAGTACTTCTCGATGGGGCGGAGCTCCGGAGTGTTGGGAGGGTTGAACATTTTCGGCACGAAATTGACCTTATTGTCCGCATACCACTTCAGCACGTCCTTGGAGTAGTGGCATGAGGCCAAATCCGGCCAGAAGATTGTTGGGACGTTGTGGGCCTTCAGGAGAGGAAGCAGCCACTTCTGGAGGCACTCTTTTATGTACACCTGTCCGTTCATCGTGTCCTGGGTCACGAAAGGTGCACTCCGCTTCCCGCACGTGCAGATGGCTTGCCAAACCAGGAATTTCTTCGCAAATTTGGACATCTTCTGAGTGCGGACATGCTCCGGAACGCTGAACTTATCCTTGGTCGTGAAAAACAGGTTGCCGGGGATCTGTTTGAAGTCGGTCTTCACATATGTTTCGTCGTCCATGATGCAGCATTCAAATTTCGTCAGCATGTTGAGGTACAACTTCCTGGCACGGGTTTTGGCGGACTTGTCCTGCTTCTCGTCGCGATTAGGGGCCTTTTGTACCTTGAACGTTCGAAGCCCAGCCTTAGTTTTGGCCTTCTGGACAAAACTTCGGCTTAGGTGCAGCTTCTTAGCCACATCCCTAACGGAGGCGTTCGGATTTCGGTTGAAGGCCCCAACTACGCGGTTGTGACTTTTGGTGTTGTACGGAATACTTTTTCCTTCACTTCTGGGCTTCCGATCGGTGGTCAACCATTCCTCGAACCGCTTAATCACTCGCGACACCGTGGAATTCGCGATTCCCAACGTTTTAGCGATGGAACGATGCGAGAGATCCTTGTTCTCGTGATGAATGCGCAAGATTTTATCACGCACGAGCTGTTCTTTCGACTCCATTTCCGCGAGTTTTGATCACAGGACTTTAAAACTTGCAGGATGTAAATAATGCAGTATGAACTAAATCCACCCAAATTTTCATTAAATTCTACCCAACGATTAAAAAGTTAGAGCAATTTCATAGTGTGGCAATTTCATCGTGGACACCCTTTATGGCAAGGTAGATGAAGACAACGTTGAACAAGTCTCCAACGAGGAACTCATAGCAGCAGCGAAAGGGTTGAAACGTGGCGTTAAAGGCGGCGATTCAGACGTTCCCGGACATGTTCAGGATGGTGCTGAAGAAATGTCTGGACGAGGGTCAGTTTCCTGATAGGTGGAAGGTACAAAAGCTTGTGCTGTTGCCGAAGCCCGGAAAACCGCCGGGGGATCCTGCATCGTATAGGCCAATATGCTTGCTGGATACTGTCGGAAAGCTCTTGGAGAGGATCATCCTGAACAGGCTGACGAAATGCACGGAGAGTGAACACAGATTGTCGGAGAGGCAGTTTGGATTCCGTAAAGGACGGTGGATGCAATGCGGACAGTGATTGGCAGAGCCGAGAAAGCTTCCAAACAGAAACGGAGAGGAAATCGATACTGCGCCGTGATTACGATTGATGTGAAGAATGCATTCAATAGCGCCAGCTGGGAGGCCATCGCCAAGGCGCTCCATAGAATTAGGGTTCCAGACTACCTCAGTAGGATTCTAAGTAGTTACTTCCAGAACCGGGTCCTGGTCTACGAGACAGACACGGGCAGAAATCGCTTAAATTCCATGCGGGAGTTCCACAAGGCTCCATTCTAGGTCCCACGCTGTGGAACGGAATGTACAATGGCGTGCTGACGCTCAAGCTGCCCAAAGGAGTTGAGATCGTTGGCTTTGCGGACAATTTCGACTTGACGGTAACAAGTGAGATCCTGGAAGAAGTGGAAATGCTGGCGGCCGAGGTGATAGATACGATTGGTAACTGGATGCAAGGTGCGAAGCTGCAGATAGCCCACCACAACACAGAAGTGATGTTGGTCAGTAACTGTAAAGCAGTGCAGCGGGCAGAAATAACCGTTGGAGAGCACACCATTATTTCGAAGCGCGTGCTGAAGTATCTGGGAGTGATGATCGACGACCGGCTAAACTTTAATAGCCACATCGAATATGCTTGCCGGAAAGGCGGCGAAGGTCATCAACGCAATAGCCAGAATCATGCCGAACAATTCTAGTCCAGGCAGCAGCAAGAGGCGTCTTCTGGCTAGTGTGTTTTCATCGATATTAAGGTACGGAGGTCCAGCCTGGATTGAAGCGCTGAAAACGAAGCAGAACCAAAGAAAATTGAGCAGTACGTTCTGGCTCATGGCCATGCGAGTCGTGAGTGCGTACAGAACCATTTCGATGGTAGGCAGTATGCGTTATCGCCGGTATGATCCCAATCGGCATCACCTTGGCGGAGGACTACGAGTGCTATATGACGAGAGAAACCAGAGGAGTGAGAACGGAGTCGATGGCTAAGTGTCAGCAGGAGTGGGATGCAGCAGAGAATGGTAGATGGACACACAGGCTAATACCGGCTCTTTCGACCTGGGTAATCAGGAAGCATGGAGAAGTCAACTTCCACTTGACACAGTTCCTGTCTGGTCATGGCTGCTTCAGGAAGTACCTGCATCGGTTCGGACACACAACGTCACCCTTCTGTCCGGAGTGTGGGAATGTGGAAGAATCACCAGAGCACGTGGTCTTTGAATGTCCTAGATTTGATGATGTGCGAGAGGATATGCTCGCCCTTAGCACGGAGAATGTCGTCGAAGAAATGTGTCGAGAGGAGGGCACCTTTAACGCCGTCAGATCATGTCAGCGCTGCAGCGAAAATGACGAGAAGACCAACTAGAAAGTAGTAGTGTGTTCACACAAGTGCGAACTGAAAGCCGAAGCCGGGAGAACTCTCCGTCAGAGTAGGCTGAATCCACCACCGGGGATAACCGAGTAGAACGTTACGCTGGGAGCTAAATGGCTCACAAATTGGAGAGACGATCAGCGAACTGGAAGCGCCAATTAGCTGAGGCAAAGTGAGGTGCGTAATGCACGGCCCCCTCCGAAGTAATGCGACAAGTGGTTCCGTGAGGAAAGGGCAAGGCGTCCAAGGAGGTTTTAGTGCGGTAAGAATCCCACACACCGTGTCACCGCGACTGTGCGTTCAGTCGTCAAGCGGTGGCATGATGGCCTTTTTAAAGGTTTCCTCCTTGCCAAAAAAAAGGAAAAATAGATAAAGCGAAGTAAGGGCAGCACTCCTTCGGAAGGTTCGAGAGGATCCGGAGTTGAAGCAACTAGGAGAGAACGTGGTGAAAACCAGGCGCGCCCAGAAAGGCGAGATCCTACGATCAAGAGCTCACTACAAAAGAAGAGCTGAGAAGTGCGTTGAGAGTGTACTGCGATCTGGGAGACGTCCCGATGTCAATCCGGATAAGGAAGGCGTACGGCGGCATGCAAACGGCGCATGCAAGAACATGTGACCGGAAGTGGAAGACGAAGGCTTTCGACAAGGATCTTTTCGTTGAGGCACTCCGTGTGCACATCTTTGAAGAGATCGTGGAGAAATTCTTGGAACGTTTCTGGAATTGTAACATTCATCAGCAATTTCAAGACGAACCAATCAAAAAATGTAATCCCTTGCAAGACCAAACTACAGTTCTGTATTTAGAGTTCCTAATAGGAACTTTCGAATCCGATATCCGATATCAACTACATGTTCAATTCACCTCTCAACACCGCTTCTACCGTTTCCTTTTCTATTGTAGATTCCCAAGCACCGGAGGACGGTCCCTATCGGGGCAAGTACATCGGCAAGTTCAACTCGTACCACCACCAAGCATCGGGGGACGTGTACGCCGTGGATGAGTTCACCTTCCTGGTGACGGGATTCAATTACGATGGCAATGGCGTGGATACGTTCTTCTGGTCCGGTGCTAGTAACCGGCCTGGGCCACAGGGTTTCATCGTGCCTGACGAATTCGGCAAGTATGTTCGACTGAAAACCGTTCAAAACTAACCGATATTAAAAAAGTGGCTTACTTTTCCAGAACCAACATCCTCGAGCGGTACTTCAACAAAGACTTCACCCTGCGGCTGCCGGACAACAAGAAGATCACCGAGGTCAAGTGGCTGGCGATCTACGATCTGAACTCGCAGAACAACTTTGCCGATGTGTACATTCCGGAGGACTTCGAACCGCCCGTTCCGCAGAAGGCAGGCAGTTTGTCCAAGAACAGTCACGGGGTGAGCAGCGAGGCGATTGACATTCTGGACTCGAAGACGCTCCGCTTTCCGGAGTTTAGCTACGACGGCAAGGGAAGGGAGGTGCACTTTTGGGTCGGAGTAGGACCGTCGCCGTCGTCCAAGGGACGCAAGATTCCGGATGAGATGGGATAGTGAGTTTTTCGGTGATTTTGAAGGGAATTTCTAGAAGGGTTTTGACGTGGTTGTTGATTTGTTATAGCTTGGATCCGATTCGGGCGTACGATCGGGAAATCATCACCTTGGAGCTGCCGGGCGACATGACCATCTTCGATATCGACTGGTTCTCGGTGTACGACGTGGCGACGAAGGAGGATTTCGGTTCTTTCCTCATTTCGGACGATCTGAACGTTCCGCCGTCGCTGGTCAAGGTGACTCCACACGCTGAATCGCTACCGAACTGTCGTCAGCTGCACAAGGACTATCGAGTGTCGTGGGAGGTTTTCGGACCGCAGGTTACCTTCCAGCTGGCAGGGAACGTGAAGGAGGACGAATATATGGCCTTCGGTATCAGCGGTTCGGACAGCCAAAGTCAGATGCAGGGTGCCGACGTGGTGGTAGCCTATATTGATGGCCATCAAGGCTATGCGGTGGATTATAACATAACCTCACTGGCACCGTGCGTTCAGGTGCTTGGTCAGAACAAAGGTGTCTGCCGGGATGACGTCGTTGGAGGTCAAGACAGTTATCAGTTGCATACGTTCAACCGCGAGAATGGAATCAACACGATCACCTTCCGTAGGATGTTGATTTCGCCGGATAATGGCGACAAGGAGTTCGTGTTGGATCACCCGATGTACATGATTTGGGCTATGGGTCGGTTGGATTCGAACAACGAGCCCACCTACCATGACATCTACCCTAAGAAGGACATTGTGATAACGTTCAACACTTCGGAATCGGTCAACGATTGCTTCAGCTTTACCCGAAGTGAGATGAATCTGAAGGACGTCTGGGAGAAGTCGCAAATCTTCGACCGGACCATCCGATCGTTCACGGCAACGCTGGGTCCAGCGGGGGGCAAACGTGGCTACCAGGGAATTACCGGACACGTTTCTAACGGGTTGGCTTGGTACATTAATGGGTTCCTGGTTCCGGAGTTGTGGCTTCGACGAGGTCTAACGTATTCCTTCAAAATCCGTGGAGGGAACAATCCACATTCACCGGAATACTACCACCCGTTGGTCATCACGGACGAACCCCGCGGGGGTTTCGATCGCCTATCGGACGCCAAGCAGAGTGAAATCCGCGTCCTCGCCGGTGTGGAGTTCACGCGCCGCGGTCGACCGAAGCCAACGGCAGCCGGGCCGCTCTGCCTGGCACGGCACTCGGACACGCAGGACCGCCGGTTGGACGATAATTTTGCCACGTTCAAAAAGTTCAACCGAACGCTCAAGTGGAGCTGCGAGTCGGGCGATCCGGCACTCCTGGAGATCACGCCCAATTCCAGCTGGCCGGACGTGGTGTACTACAACAGTTTCACGCACGCGAACATGGGCTGGAAGATCCACGTCGTGGACAGCTATAGTGCCTCGGCGAGAAGTGGTGCGGGCGGGCGGCGGGTGACGTCCTGGGCTGAGGTAAGACTGATTGCGGCTGGCGTCGGCGCAGCGCTGCTGCTTCTGCGGGGATTATTCTCCGGTGGAGCACGTGGTGGGTTGTGATCTGGATTTTGTTTTTTTTTCGTTGATTCGTAAGTGCATGGAGTTCCATCGTCTTCATCAGTCGGTAGGTAGGGCTAGTAGTTGTTCGAAAATAAATTTGGAAAATTTGAAGCATGGGGGATTCCTTTTTTTCCTGGATGGATGACCTCCTCTCCTAGATTGACCTAGAACTTTGATGAAGGAAGGGACGGTTCGGATTGAAATAATTCTTCTCCAGGTGGGGGGGTTGGTCGGTGTATGTGTTAATGTGAAACGCGTCACAATTCGTGGTGTATATTTTACTCTATTTGCTTCACTTGGTGTATACATGTTCAACTTTACTATTATGTTAGCTTATGAGTGACTCAAGTTCACTTGATTAATGTGTGTTCTTAGGCTAATATTTTCAACACATATAATACGCTTTGAGATTTGAGATATTCAGTTGGTTTAAGATTTTGTTTTTGCTTTATAGATCAGTGTGTTTGTGGTTATAATAATACGGACGTGTGTCCGTTTCTTTCGACAAGCTACTACTAACGTATTGTTTTCTATTGTGACGGAGTTCATGGAGCTTTCTATTTTTCATTTGCAAAACAGAATTTATTAGTAGTTCACAATTGCCTAGAATCGCTTAGATAAGAATGGTAGGTATTGTTGTTTTACAGGGTAGATTAACCAATCAAGGGCAAACGTATTGCATTCGATATTGCACCAAATATCCATCTTATAGACGAATGTGAAAGATTAGAAATCAAGATGATGCGAAATTAGTAGAAGAAAAAGCCTGATCCGCGGAGGGGCTGACAAAATCGGGAAAGAACTGTACTCAGTGCCACAGAAGGAAATGTTCCCTGGTCTCTGCAACTGCAAGTATTATCAATTATTTGAATGGTGAGAAGTTTAAGATATTAACCGATCATCTAAACCACGATGGAAGTGTATATCTGCATCTGCAGAGGCGCAATTATTTACAAAACAAGTAGAGCTAGCGTGACTTGTTTACACTGTATTTCAATTCTACTCAATGACTGAACAGAATGTTACTGTCCTCTCTTTTTCTCTCACGGAAATCTGACTCTATTGTGGTTGAAAAGGGAACTTTCGATAGATCGATGACGTCATTTCGCTAGCGTCTGCAATGGGAAATTCTAATAGCAGGCGTTGACGATGAGACGTTGTCGAGTTGTTGATTAGCAACCATCGTGGTAACTCACCGCTTACCTGTCGATCTGCCAAATTTGGAAAGACGTCAGCATTGAATTTTCTCATATAATAATAATTCGCCCACTATATCACAAGAAATTGCGAGTAGCTGGGTGGAATGGAGATTAGTTAAGCATTGGCTACAGGACCAAGTCTCCCCTGGGTGGAGCCAGAAGATGGACGCAAATAGAAATGATGATCCGGGACGGGCATCTTACCGTTTCGGAAAGTGGATTAGAGATGATCCGGGACGGAAATCTTGATTTACTTTGAAGCACGAGTAAAGATGTTCCGGAACGGACATACTAGGTTTGCCGAACGTGGATTCAAGATGGTCCGGGACGGGCATCTTTGGATCGCGGAATAATGATGATCCGGGACGGACATCTTACTTTCTGGTTCGATAATCAAAGATAAGGTAAGGTAAGGAAATTCTCACCATTTGAAATGGTCTCTAGACTCGACTTTAGATCTTTAAATGGATATAAGCTAGGGTAAACGCTTCTATTGTTGCGGTACGTAAGAAGCGTTAGGTTCCTATAGTTGTATATTGAGTCTCCATGCACAACTATAGGAACCTAACGCTTCTAACATACCGCAACTACACTGATAGGCAAAATAAAGTGCCCACCCCATCATTTTTTGAATTTCTCTCATTTATTTGGTTCAAATTAAAGTAAATACACTGTAGTATTTTTTATATCTTATTCTTTATATTCTTTTTAAGTTTCACTTATAGAATACCAGATAAAAAGAAGAGACTGACTCGAAGAAAAAAAAATCAAAATGGGTGTAAAAAAGAACAGTGACAAAAAAAAGTGCCCACTGCATTTTAACTCCAGAAAACATAAAATAAAGTAAAAGAATACCAGCCTAATAGTTAATGTGTCCTCCTTTGGCCTTCAGGACCAGCTGCAGGCGCTTCGGCATGCTCTCCACTAGATTCTTCAGGTGCTGTGGATCTAGTTCTTCCCAGGCGCGCTCCAGGGCTTCAAAATAGTTATTTTTATTGGTAACACCAGTTTTGTCAACCCTGGCATCGAGAATCGCCCACAAATTCTCGATGGGGTTGAGGTCCGGGCTTTGTGGAGGCCATTCCAGTGGTTTAATTCGACATGACCGGAAGAAAGACTTAGTCTTCTTGGCAGTATGCTTCGGATCGTTGTCCTGCTGGAATACGAATTTCTCCTCAAGGCCCGTCTGGATCAGCGAAACTTCCAGATTTTCCCGCAGGATGTCGATGTAGGAATCTGCCGTCATTATCCCGTCGATTTTCACCAGGCTTCCCACTCCACCCCACGAAAAGCACCCCCAGACCATCACATTTCCTCCTCCATGCTTCACCGTGCCTTGTATGTGGCGCTCCTGAAGCTCCTCACCCGATCTACACCACACACGAACCCGTCGCTTCCGGTTGAACAGTTCGAATTTTGATTCGTCCGTCCAGAGAACCGTTTTCCAGAACTCTAGGGGCTTATCAGCATGCTCCTTAGCAAACTTAAGCCGTTTGACTTTGTTTGCCTTGCTGATAAATGGGCGCTTCCGAGCAACTTTGCTGTTCAACCCCTGTGCTACGAGACGGCGACGAACAGTTCGACTGGAAACTGTTAGCTGAAGAGCCTCCTGGATCTCGCGGACAGTTACCTTCGGGTTCTTCTTCACTTCACGCATGATCTTGGTGTCCGTTCTCGCATCCGTTTTGCGCATCCTGCCTCTGCCAGGGCGATCCACCACTGATCCGAACGATTTCATTTTCTGCAGAATTTTCCCGACCGCTGTTTTGCTGATATTGTACTTCCTAGCGACAGACCGGTGCGATTCACCGTTTTGCACATCACGAACAACCAATTTTCGGATACACACGGGAATTGCTTTCGAAATCACTACGTCCTCCATTTTTTTCAACTGATTCAAATGCGATCACGTGTACAAATGCACCAGTTCCACCCGTTTGCTTCAATACATGTCAAACTTTCAAAACAAAAACAATCGAGGGGTTTTCCGATGGAAACTTATCGAAAACATACCGATTTTTGAAGTGGGCACTTTTTTTTGTCACTGTTTTCTTTTTCAATCCAAATTGATTTTCTTTTACTTCAAGTAAAACTTTATATTTTCAGTATTCCATAGGTGTAACTTTAAAAGAATAATAAAGGTAAGACATCGAAACAGACTACGGTGTGTTTATTTGAATTTGAACCAAATAAATGAGAGAAATTTCAAAAATGATGGGGTGGGCACTTTATTTTGCCTATCAGTGTATAGGAGCATTTCCCCTAAGTTTAGAAATCGAAATAATTCCAGTTTACCTACGAGATAAAATGCACACCGACCATACAACGGAGTTAATTCCCATTAGCCGAATTGGTAGGGGAAACGCTCCTATAGTTGTGCATGGAGACTCAATACCCAACTATAGGAACCTAACGCTTCTAACGTATCGCAACTATAGGACCGTTTACCCTAGTGACTTTTTTTGCTTTTGAAAACAAAAAAACAACACTAACGAAGAAAAGTAGTTACAGTTTTCCCCCGAAGAATGCGTTACCCACTGAGTTCTACCCACCGCTTTTTGTCTTGGTGGGTTTTCAACCAAGCGCTCTGATTTTCTGCGAGTGACTAGTTTTCCATTGGCACTACTCACATGCAAAAAATTAGACCGACTGGTTGAAACCCTGCCGAGAAAAAGCGGTGGTTGCAAATCAGTGGGTAACGCGTTCTTCGGGGGATAGCTGTACAGTCAGGAATCTTTATTGCCGGGGTAACGGGAGCGTGAATAAGGAACCGCGAAAAAGGATACCCACAGCTTATGGGATTTTCACTAATGGGGGCTGTGGTGGATTATCTAATTTATTTCAATATATAAAGTTGTTGTACTGGGATAGACCAACAAGCCTGTGTCATTGGATTCATGTTTAATTGAGAACTACGCCACTAGAGGCGCATCAATTTTATGTTACTTATGACGGGCGCCATAATATATGGATCTTATGTCCAACATAGAATATTTCGTGATCCTGGCCATATAGAAAGTTTCTGTCTTGAGCAAAGTTGTTCAGCTGACCAAGCCCTTTCGGATGGTCACCACATTAGTTCAGAACTCTCTCACTACGCAGCGCTAGTGTGTACATGAGTTTCGTATATAAGCTGTATCTCAAAATCCTGGCCATATAGAAGGTTACTGTCTTCAGCAAAGTTGTGCAGGTAACCAAGTCCTTTTGTATGGTGTTCATATTAGTTCAGAACTCTCTCACTACGCAGCGCTAGTGTGCATTTGAACTTCCTATATAAGCTGTATCTCGAGAACCTGACCATATAGAAAGTTGCTGTCTTCAGCAAAGCTGTTCAGGTAACCAAGTCCTTTCGGATGGTGATCATATTATTTAAGAACTCTCTCACTACGCAGCGCTAGTGTGTACATGAACTTCTTTAATATGTTATGTGTGGAAAGCTTGTCCATATAAGATGCTGCTGTGGAATGTGAGGACACAAAACGGAATAGGGATGACGCGTAGAGAGACTGAAAATCGATTTCGGACACCATTTTAAAATCTAAGATGGCGGTTATCGATTCAAGAAAAGCTGTCAAATACCCTACAATATGGGTATTTCCGGAAAGGGAACGACGTTTAGAGGCCAGAAATCGATGCCAGACGCTATTTTGAAATCCAAGATGGCGGCCATGAGTTCAAGAAAAACTGTCATATACCCTACAATATGGGTATTTCCGGAAAGGAGACGACGTGTAGAGTGTAATAACTGTGTACTTTTCTTTCCAAAACGTAGGGCAGGTTCTTTGCGAAAAGCCAACGCACGTT